ACGATCCTTCCGGTTGAAACCTTGATACATTTCACTTCAGGTCGACCTCGAGCTTGTTGGTGAGTTCGAGCACCTTGTTTTCGTACTCGCGCTTCACTTCCGTGAGCACGTGGATCTAAACCACACGGCGTTGGTCGAGGGATCGAACCTGTCCAGAAGCAAGCTACATGGTCATCTCGTATACAGTACATGCGCACCAAAGCACTGGGCGTAAATGTCTTCGCGGACGGGGCAGATCCGCTTTCGCGGGCTTGGCGCTTGAGGAGCTTGGCGGCCATTTGCTCCTCCAAGCATCATCGTATATTAAAACACGTTGCTCGCATGCAAAGCCGTCCACGTTCACGTTACTCAAACAAAGACGTCGCTAAAACCAAGACGTGTGCGGGCGAGTTGGCGGACGCTGCTGCGGGTCCGTCTGGCACGGCGGCAACGCCTGCGCGGCCGCCTGTGGTGCGTGGTGCTGCGGTACCGTGACCGGCGTCGTGAACGGCATCGGCGAGACAGCAGGTGGCATTGCTTCGTGAGGCGTCGGACAAGGTTGCACAGGCGAGTTGGGTGGTTTGGCGGCCCCAAAGGGCTGCAATACGGTCGCTGCTACATGATTCGGGCGTTTCCCTGGTCTCGATCACACGTGCATCAGCAACCATCGCCATCTCCTCGAAGCCTCGTTTCTCGCAGGTGTCGACATGGACGCGAAGCGTCTTCGATACGTTTGAAGTCAGCGACAAGCCCGTCTGGCAGCAGTGCTTTGGTCTCGTGCGCGACAAAATGGACGCGCACGAGACCATAGCACTGCTGCCAGACGGGCTTGTCGCTGACTTCAAACGTATCGAAGACGCTTCTCGTCCATGTCGACACCTGCGAGAAACGAGGCTTCGAGGAGATGGCGACGGTTGCTGATGCACGTGTGATCGAGACCAGGGAAACGCCCGAATCATGTAGCAGCGACCGTATTGCAGCCCTTTGGGGCCGCCAAACCACCCAACTCGCCTGTGCAACCTTGTCCGACGCCTCACGAAGCAATGCCACCTGCTGTCTCGCCGATGCCGTTCACGACGCCGGTCACGGTACCGCAGCACCACGCACCACAGGCGGCCGCGCAGGCGTTGCCGCCGTGCCAGACGGACCCGCAGCAGCGTCCGCCAACTCGCCCGCACACGTCTTGGTTTTAGCGACGTCTTTGTTTGAGTAACGTGAACGTGGACGGCTTTGCATGCGAGCAACGTGTTTTAATATACGATGATGCTTGGAGGAGCAAATGGCCGCCAAGCTCCTCAAGCGCCAAGCCCGCGAAAGCGGATCTGCCCCGTCCGCGAAGACATTTACGCCCAGTGCTTTGGTGCGCATGTACTGTATACGAGATGACCATGTAGCTTGCTTCTGGACAGGTTCGATCCCTCGACCAACGCCGTGTGGTTTAGATCCACGTGCTCACGGAAGTGAAGCGCGAGTACGAAAACAAGGTGCTCGAACTCACCAACAAGCTCGAGGTCGACCTGAAGTGAAATGTATCAAGGTTTCAACCGGAAGGATCGT